ACAAACAATGCCAGGCACCAAGTGCACCCGATTCCACATACTAATAGCTGTGTGCATGCTGTTTGTCAGTTGCATATTGCAAAAGTCATCTCATCAGAGTGATACCTGCTAAGACTAATCCAAAATAGACAAAATCATCATAAGGTGCCACGGTCTTGTCACTTTTTAATTGTAGAGAAAAGAAAAGTGTCAAACCATGTCTACATCGAGTTATGTAACGACTTGACATTTGTTTTAGGGTTAATTTTACCATACAGGTCTTACCTCTCCACGCTTCGTACTTCCGTCTGCAGCATAGTCGTCTCCAAAAGGCCTGCAGCCATCCAACCTGTCTGTTTGTTATTGATACGCCTCATTTCACATTAATATTGGTATTCCTTACAGCGCCTTCGAGGAAGACTTGACACGCCGCATTGGTGCTGCATTGGTAGCAGCACCAAGCTAACCATAACCCAATGGCTGACTTCCCTATTTCCTTTTACCGATCACCAAACCTCGATGTCGTGGCGTGAGAGGATGACCATACCTGTAAAGACCCACAACAGAAGGGCCATGGAAGCCACCTCCATCATTGTCACTCAATCCAGCAACCAGTGGCATCATCCGATTGGAACGATTCGAAAGAGTTCATCATGATACTATCTACGGTGCCAATGCGAACAACTGATGCTTCCTCACCTCCTTTACGCCCCTTGTGACTGAATGGGACACAGACAGTCAGAAATCACTCAGCTAGATAGCCTAATAGCCAGATATCCAGATAGGTGGTTGGGCGGCAGTGGAATGAGAACAGTGACAAGGCATGTTGGTACTGAGTGTCAGCTCTATGACGGTACCGTGATTTATGTGTTTCACTGAATGAGTGTGCTCTTTGACAAATACTCCTACAAGTGGGGATTAGCATACGAAATGCACAGTCCATTGTCCAGCCTTGAGCAACATGAGATTGATGAATTTGTCCAATGCAGATGCAGTTGTGGTTGTAGTTCACAAAGGCAACGCGACTGCGGATGGGGGTATGGACACACAAGAATGAACGGAGTGGGATGCATCAATGGCGTGGGGATTAAATGTCGTCTCGGTTGCATGAAAATTTAACGACTACCACTTCTGCTTTGTGCTCAGTGTCTAATGGGTGGTTTTGGTGTTAGAGTCGCCAACTGCGTTGTGATAGTCGGAATAGGGTAGTTGCCAAAGGGAGAGTGAGATGACGCTCGAACGGTAGAGTGGTGCATTTAGTGATTAAAATTATTTACCTGTACATGTCACTACACGGGCTCTTCAATCTCCTCTCTTTAAACTAGCTCTTACCCTGCTTACATCCCATCCCACCCAAGAGATCATTTCCTATGCTGCTGTGGGTTACACGACGTCGAGTTAAACTCGAAACTCCGATGAGACAGGGGATTCAGAAGTTAGAGGTAGGCGTGAATGCCTTACTTTTCTGTCACCACCTGCCCATAAGAACCGAAGGGAAGAAGAGGAGGGAGAAAGAGTCAAAATGGCAATAGTCTCTGTCATTGACAGGCAGGTAACTCCCTCATTCTGCCTCTAAACTATTAGCTTTGATATGATTTTGCGGGCTGTCAACTTCATCAAGTTGCATGCACATTGCAATAAGGCGTTTTGTTGATGATGTCGAGTTTACTTGGCCACCACATTTATACGATTTGGATCTATGCTTACATCAAAATACACAAACTGGTTCCGTGGCATACCACTCTAGTTGAAAAAGATGGAAATCACAAATATTAAAAAAATGCTTGCTAACGGCTACGGTGAAGGTGATATGGTTCATCGCAATTCAACGATAATTAACAAGTCCATGTAACTTACAAGGCCATTGGAAGGAATGCGTGCGTTACAGCCCCGATTTATTGCTAAGAATTGTTCTTCCTCTATACAGAGCAATGCAATCACGACCTCCTTCGTGCTAACTGAAATGCAATCCATCACCGCATTACATTTTGGTTCCACGCGTCCAGGCCATCAACATTTTGAATGCCCGGGGATCGATCCCTCAAACAACTGCGAGTAAACCCCTTGTGTACATTGGTGGTAGTGAAGTTTGATTCGTTATACAAATTTTTTATTTGCAAGGAAGGTTATCGCGTTCATGCTCGAGACTTGGGAATAAATCTAGTGGCTTACGTAGGAGGGACTCTGCTGCAAATGGCTAATCTCGAAGTTGGCACTTGCGCCGCAGGATTGAGAATAGCGCTTCCTACATGCCATTTTCAAGGTAGAAGGCTTCTTTGCGCACCTTCATTTTCTACCGTATCGCATGTAGCAGATGGATCTGTCCCAATCGCCTGTTCTTCAACAAGAAATTCTCAATGAACGACTCCGTCCCCAGTCCACTACCCGCATACATGAAGCAAGTGAGTTTGTCTGAAATGAAAAGGTTTAAATCAGTTTGACAGACTCTAGACCTTGTTGTTACCTGTTGATCCGTGTCTCGTACTACTTATTTGTCCAGTAGCTTCCACCACGATTTTCTCCTTCCAGTTTTTGGGGATGTAAAGCAGCTGCAATATCGTCACTTACGTCAAGAGTGCCTAAATATTGTCCTTGACGCGTTAGCATTTAATTATTTTGGCCTATAGAGGCACATACTCCATCATGATTAAGGACAGAATTTCTTTCCAAAAGCGATCCAGGAAACGACTATAGCTGAATGACTACAAATCATTTCTAGATGGTGCATTTTGCAACTGCGCCTCCTCCAAATGCTATGAAATAGAGAGCACCGCACTGATAGATTGACGCATATTAATGCTCTGTAAAGCACATACATAAATAATTGCATGAATTTGACAAGTCTGTAAGTTAGGGCACCGAGGTGGATCGAAAACCCCAAGAACTTCCCAAAATAAGATCGCGCCAAATCGTCAACAAGATGCCTCCTCTAGCTCAAAACGGCAATTTAAGAAACCTCGAGAAGTAGAACTCGTCCTGTCCTCTGCCAAACTGATCTAAAATGTTTGAAAGTAAAAGTTCTTTAGATTTCAAACAGTAAACAAATTAAACCGGGGAGAATTTACCTAGTCGCAAATCACAACCACTTCCTTCTCGAAGCTCGTCTGTGAAACAATTTGCAATTTGATACTAAACTTCGCAAATTCTTGGATCTATAAGTTAGTGCAAACGACTTTTCACCTGCCCTTTAAATGCACCTGACCTTGAGGTGGCATTTCAAAACAGGATCAGATTCCATCATATTCTCCCAAAGCGGGCAAAGCAGTCCCACCTACCATGGAGGCTCCCAAGCCTTTCCAGCGTAAAATCAGGAAAAACTTATTCGACTTTTCAGCCAGAATCATTTTTTGAGTAAATGAGTCATTTCAAGACCCGACATATTGAAAACATACCGGTAAAAATCATTTTGCATTTGCTAGGCCACATACACTTCAAAAATAAATAAAAGGCAACCGATACTCAACCACCTCTTCAGATGAACGAAACTGACACCCAGAGGACTTCAGGAACGCGGTTCTTTCAAACCTAACATGAATCCAAATTAGAACAAGCCCTTATTCAAACTTCTCAAGAAATCAGGGCATAATTAAATCTTATCCTAAAAAAATTTCTCACATTAATTTAGGCGACGTAAGTAAGCTAGTGTAATGTTTTCGTCAATCATTTTCAAACATCCTCAAGCTCAGACAGTTGCACTATCTAATGCAAATTTTGTGAGACCCACTTCTCAACTAGTGAGCCGCAATCACAAAAAGGTTTTCCAAACCCCGTGTGATCAAAAGCTGCCACCAAATCTAGCCCAATCAAAACCCAAAGATAAATAAATAAGATATTCGTATATCTTTTTTAAAACGGTATCGCATAATAAGTTAATAGGAAATAGGGTGAGCGAAAGAGACACAATTTATGCACATTATTTACGCCAGGGGAGGGCGAAGGGAAGAAAGCTGACAGAAAAGGTTGAATTGGCGCCATCACGATGAAACGAAGAAAGAAGGTGGTTCAGATGGACGGGCGGGAGAAAAACAGGGGTACATGGGAAAGGTGGAAATATGATCATCATCATTATTGTCGTCATAAATAGTCACCACACGTGACAAGCCACTGGTATGTTATCCGGCGCCTTTTTGAAGTCCAAAGCAAACGCGCACACAAACGAAGCAGGGCCTTTTAATGGCCAAAAGGAGAAAGAAGGGGAGCTATGTACAGGTCCAATAATCCGCACTCGTATTGCACTTCGCTTAGGGCCATGGAGGCAAATGGAACAGGTAAGAGATGTGTAATGACTTGAGAAGAGAGCGATTCCCAAGTAGCAAGATCGTTCCATGCAATCAAATAGATATACTTGCTCACTTACAGTAAATGCCTTTTATACAAGAAATGCCGGGTGGATGGATGGAGCATCTTCACGCAGATGCTGTAGTTGTCGATGTCACCGCTGCTGTCGTGGTTGTTGTGGCGGAAGTTGAGGTACCGATCGTAGCAGCGGAGGAAGAGGCAGCAACCACGGCAGCAGCAGCTGCCGCGGCGGCGGCGGCTCTTTGCTGTGCCGCTACCACTGCCATTTGCTGTGCGTAATGTTGGTGCTGCTGTTGCAGATACTGCTGTTGAGCAGCCAAAATTTGTTGCTCCTGTTGTTGCTGCTGTTGTTGGACTTGCTGTTGGGCTTGTTGTTGTTGGATCTGATGCTGATCATGCGGCGTGTTAAATGCAAACTGTGTAGTAGTGCGGTTGGATGGGAAGAAACTAAACGCCTGCTGCCGCATATGCGCGGCTTGGTGGACCTGCAACATTGCAGCGTATTGTTGATGCTGTGCTTGTTGTTGAGTATGGTAAGGATGCTGGGCTTGCTGAACCACCTGGTGTTGATACTGCTGCCGTTGTTGTTGTGCCGCGTAAGCATACTGCTGCTGCTGTTGTTGATTTTGCTGTTGCTGCTGCTGCCGATGATAATACGCCGCTTGTTGACTATGTAAATGCATCTGATGATGGGCGTAGGGTTGGACCATCGCAGCCTGTGCTCCACTCTGAGCAGCGGAAGTTTGAAACTGCCGCCCCAATGCAGCTGCTGCCATTACAGCAGCGATATTATTGGTGGTGGCTGCAGCAGCCACGGCTGACGTAGTCGTTGTAGCAGGAGTTGATGTCGTTGCTGTGGTATTGCTAGTGGCTGCCGTGGCAGTCGTTGAGGCGGTGGCAGCGGTAGAAGTACTAGCCGGAGGTCCAACGCAAACGAATGACCCTGCAGGGTTGGGGTTGGCGGTCATGAAGACCGGATAGTGCATTTGTTGGGCAAACTGGGGATAAGCTGTGATTGCGGCGGCGACAGCCGCTGTCGTAGCAGTGGATGTAGCTGTCGTTACTGCAGTGCTACTATTAGCGATATCAGTAGCAGTGGTAGCAGTGCTAGCGGAAGTAGAAGCAGAGGCAGCTGGAGTACTAGACACAGTGGCAGTTCCATTAACCACCGGATTCAACGCCACGATGGGGAAATTCTGTGCCGCAAAGAGGGTACTCGTTGCGGCGCCAGGAGCAGCGGCAGACAGAAATCCAAACCCGGAAACGGGCAGTGGATTCGCGGTAGCGACTACAGAAGAAGCCGACGTACTTGTAACCGCAGCTGTCACAGCAGATTTCGACTTCCTCACTCCGTTAGTGCGTGGTCTTGGCCCATAGAGGTGCGTCTTCTCATGCAACCTCCGCTTGTCCGAGCGGGCAAAACACTTCCCACAATGAATGCACTCATAGGGTTTAATTTTTGTGTGAATTCTCTCGTGAATCTTCAGTTTATCTGACCGAGTAAAACGTTTGGGACAGAAGGAGCACGCATAAGGTCGAATACCCGTATGTGTACGGTGATGGATTTTCAATTTATCGGAGCGAGTGAAACGCTGCTTACACGTGGCACACTCAAAAGGCTTCACATTGAGATGGGAAATCTCGTGCATACGCATCTTGTCGGCACGGAGGAAGGCCTTCTGGCAAAAAGAGCACTTGTGCGGTCGGATGTCAGAGTGGGTGAGTTTATGGTTCTTCAGCGACTTGATGCCTGAGTAGCGCTTGAGGCATTGGTCGCATTGGTAGGGTTTCTCTACTGCAGGATCAATGGCGGACTTCTGGTCAGCCAGAGAGGGATCGAGTTTAAGGAGAAGGTCTTCGGGGATCTGCGGGAGGGCAGGGGCGGCGGCGGTGTTGGTAGGGGCGGTGGCGGAGGAGGCGGAAGTATTGCCACTGCTACTTCCATTCGCTGTAGGAGTAGCAGTGGGGGAAGCGACAGTGACAGGTGGGGGAAAAGTGGGTTGCGATTTTTTTTCACTCGGGGAGGAGACGGAGGTCACAGCGACAGCGGGAAAGGTAGGAAAGGCGACTCGCTGCTGTTGTTGGGCTTGTTGCTGAGCCTGCTGTTGCTGTTGACGAGCAACAGCAAGATACTGCTGGTGCTGCTGTAGCTGTTGAAGATGTAGTTGATGTTGATAATGCAGTTGATGATGTGGTTGTACCATGGTGGGTTGAGAGGTACGCATGAAAGTGGAGACGGAGGTCGTTGCGGTGGTGGTGGCGGTGCTTGAAGAGGCAGCAGCAGCAGCAGCAGCAGCAGCAGCAACGAGGGTGTTTGTCGATGCGGGCTGCGCGGTAGCAGCGAAGCTGCCCCACGGAGCAAAGGGGTGGTTGTGAACCATGACTGAAAAGAAGTGGGAAGGGACATCACACGATGACACATGGGGTTATTTTGGGTTAGCGTGCCTGTTAAACGTCCTCTTCTTGACCAAAAATAACACACTACTAGTCCCTTCCTTTTCTGAAATCTCAAAGTTAGATTACTGTTAGCAGTTAGGCGGCCTTCCCGGGTCTAACCTGTTGCCCATAGGCGATTAATGACTTGTTCCAAAGGGCTCTTTCGCATACGCATGACTGCAAATTAGATTAAAGTTTTCAGCGAATTCGCTTGCATTTTCAAGCTAGCACATTCTCATAAACTAAGTGGTATTGTGCATTACCTTAAAATAGCCCACAGAAACTAACAAAAGAACCCGAAGTGACTTGGGAAATAAGAAATAAATATCGGGAGAAAGTAAAATTGCACCCGTTAAAAGATCTCGATCTCAGCTCATTAAAAAGAAAACTGGAAAAACCAGTTCTACAAATTGAAGAACGTCGAAAACTATTCCACGAAAAAGTACTACATCAGAGGTAGGTTCTACAACAAGGCAGGTAACCGCATTATGGAAAAAGGTAGAGCTGCATATAAGACTAAAAGGCATGAATAAGCCTTAAAGAAATAAGGTGTACCTGGAAAGCTCCCATTTTCAACAAAAGATGGGTTGCCGGCGAAGGAGAGAAAGACATTCTCCATCACCGAAAATTGACAGAAAAGCGCCAACTCGAATGGACCGCTCAGACATTAAAATGATACTTTAAACAATTCAAACGTTGATAATTCGGTGTAGTTATTACTATTTGGTACAAGTTTTGTCATTTTTAGGCATTTATTTAGTATTTTTTATTGAAGTTTTACCAGAAACATGTCTGTTTTACTGATCTTATTGTGTTGAAACGAAACAACAAACTACTTCGTAAAAATTGAACCACTTTATTAAGATAGGTAATAGCATTGCATTTCGCAGAGCTTTACTCTTCCAATTCCACGCTGGTATAGAGTTGTGCAACTGTAAACAATAGTACGCGCATCCAGATTCGTACCCTATGTTTGACAAACTAAGATTAGTTGATGCCACCACTAACTCACGGCTGGATTACACATCTCGGCATATTTGGGCAACTGGTCTTAACCTCTAGCGCCATAATACTCCTTGGGGTCAAAATAAGCCTCGCTAGCTGAGCAGCTATCAGTGTGTCCCTACTGCGTGAACCGCCCGCTGAGACGCAAGCACCAGGGCTACTACGCACACAGCCGATCAAAGCACCGCATTGGCACAACCCTATCGACGGTTAGAAAATACCTAACTTTCTGGCACGGTGACCCTGACTACCAAATTATTCCTTCCCCATTTTCCCCGGGGAAATTAGCAAACACACAAGTGGTAGTGACACACTTTACTCGGACTACTTCAAAGCAGAAAACAAACGGGACAAAACAGGAGAAGTGGATCACGCGATCCTGGCAGTGTATGTGAGAAAGAAGTGGAGGAAGCGGTCAGAAAGGCCCCAAATCCAGGTATGAATGTATGCAAAGACGGAAATCGCGCCTCCCGTTTACTCTCCATTCTACACAATCTCATACCGATCCGGATGAAAATTTACCTCTGTGGAGAATTTCACGGGTTTGCTGTTCACATCAAACGCCTCAATCACCTAGAGGAAGCATGGAAATAAAGAAAGCCATTTTGATATGGACAATTCCCAAGACATGGAACAAAAGTTTGGCTTGCGATTGGTCTTACTGATTTCAAAATAAACTGCCTGGCTAACATCAAAATGGAGTTATAAGGGAGGCCTACATTTTTCCAACCGGATGCTGGATAATGCCCGAAACCCAATCAAAATACGCACAAAATGTCCTCATACTACCAGCTGCAACTCGAGAATCCCTCTGCCATGATGCAAATTATTCGCCATCTTCGTTTCTGGCTCTTAAGCATGAGCGAATGTTTTCAACGCACCCAGCAATAATACTGTTGCGGCAGTGATCGGCGTGCAACAACAGACAGTAGCGTGTCGATGATAGACCTCGAGACGAGGACGTAAATTCGCCCCATCGCTCCACAACCCCCACAACGACTATTCCCAAACCCTGAGGGTGTCTCTGGTAATCCGACCAATTTCTACTTTGATGGCCACACCTTCACTATGCCTAGAAATACCGCAGGCCAGTGAACGCATGGATAGAATCGGTACCCCTTTTAAGACTGCTTAACCATCACACCAGGTTATTCTCAGCTACTTGCAAGGAGATTAGAGGCGGCTTCGGCTAATGAATACATGGACGGATTCAAAGCGGATAGATGCCGAATATCCAGCCCTTCACCAAAGACTTCAGAGAGGTGAACCAGCTTTACCTCAACACCACAATAGGATGTGGTCGAAGAGAAATCGAGGCAGACGGGAAAGAAGAGATCAGCCTTTGCCTCGCGATCGGTGCGAATGGTGAACTCGAGGCTGCCAGTGATGTTGTCCGCATCCACTAGGGGCCGCGTCCAGCGAAGTTGGCTGCGCCGAGCATCCACTTCATAGTCGCCATCACAAGCACTTACAACAGGGGGCTTGGTGGATGGTCTGCAAGGGGAAGAAAAAGGTGACTGAGTCCCTAGCCTAGCTAATTTCTGCCATTCTACCAGATCTGACATTTTGGAATGTCAAGCCATTACAAACACAGTTATAACTCCAGATGACAAAAGAAGCTTGTTTTTAAAGTCACGATGTCGAGTAGAGATTCGAGTGCCACAGATGCCAAACAGCCATGTATAACATTACTAATTGTAAATTTAGCAATAACTTACGGCAAAGGTATGGTGATGCAAAAGTTCTGCAAAGACAGCGACGTATCCTGCAAATCATATTCCACATTCACCTCAAACCCGCCCACAATCTCAGCTGGCCAGCAGTTGATGAGCACGGGCAGGGCAGTCTCCGCTTGGCTTTGTAGACGCCACTTGAGCACTGCAACCTCCTTGCCCACAAGAAACGCTTTCCCACCTGGTTTTATCGCCAGCCAACAGTTCTTCTGTAAGGACAGGAAAAAGGGCATTGGTTGATCAGAAAAGATGGGAAGATCGCGCTCTCAACTAACTTGGAAGGTGGCCTTATCAATGTTGGGATGGGTCTGGAAGGAGGCCGGAGGGCGTCTGTCGCTATCCGCAATGGCGCGGCTCAAATCGACGCGAATGCGAGCGGTAGAGGTGTGCTCATCGCCCGCGCGAACGTGCAAAACCCCACCAACCTCAAGCAGATCAACACCGCCATCGCGATTGGCCTGGGCGATCAGACGCTCCTCCAAGCGGATGTGGAGGCTGGGAATTTGGCATCCATTTTTTTAGACTTCAGCGCGTAGAATTTCACACTCTTGCTTATTAGTACATCCAGATGTTAAAAATGCTCCATTACTCTCGGTCAGCCTAAGAACCTGAATTGCTAACCTTAGGAGGGATTATGGAGCCATATTATAAAAGGAACACTACCAGCCTTCCAATCTTGAAAACAACTACAAGAGGGTTTGTCTTTCAATCAAGAGGTCAGATAGGTTAACTGTAACATTATTTAACTCTTGTTGCTACCGCTAATTCGTCATGTGTGGCTCAAGACAAGAATGTACCGACCCCCTTCCTTCCACTGCAACTGCAATCGGTTCACTTTTATAAACGACCGCCTTGAAAAAAACCACCTACCAGACAAGAGCTTCCCACTTAGCCCATCTACGACTCTTGCTGATGTCAGAGCTACATTTCATTGATGTAAATCATTTGTTTGATGACAGTTTTATAAAGCGGCAATTAGAAGAGAAAATGAAGATGATATTGAAAGACCTTCACAACAAACTCTTTCCCAAGAATGGCAAGTAATATCCTTGTGTGTGCAATGGAATTATGAAAAAATGTGATATTTGTTAGACGAACTACACCGATAAAACAGTTACATTTATGGTCCCCGATATGCTCAAATGAATTTGGATCTTGCAAAAGCATAAAAATTAAACCACCTTTTCCCTCGGAAAGTGCACGGCGTTTAAGCCAAAATTGAGAAAGAAAGCCACTATTTCTCACAAGCGAAGTAAATAGCATGCAATAGAATGGTGTCAAAAAAGCGAGAAAAAATAGCTATAGCATCTCCTAATAATTTCTCAAACATTAGACACAATTCTTCTAAAGTATTTTCAGTAAGTCAAATAGGGTAACAGAATACAGTCCAAACGATATCAAATGTATAAGTCGAAATAGGACCTTATTCAGATAGACATTAAATCCAAATGACCAAATTTATCGATAGACGAGAAATGAACCCCGCAGTTCTGAGTAGCCCCTGGAATCAGAACGTGCACGTGAGCGTACAACAATACCTGACCGGAAGGGTTAAATTACAAATAGATTTTTTCCAAAAAGACAAACAATCCTATTACGTCGCATCATTCTTAAACAAACCTAATAAAAATAATAAAATGAACCAAACAAACATGCTTCAACCGAAAATATGGGAATGGAAGACAAAAAGGATTCTTTTGGAGTTCTGATCTGTGGAGAATGCCAAAAGAGCTTTTACGGGGTTATGGAAATAAATAAGGTGAACAAAAGTTGCGTTTCATCAAAAACAGAAAAAAATAACCATATTTTCTGCAAATAGCTAGTTCGTCTATTTCAGAATACAACTTTTGGGACCCAAAATGCACTTTCTCCTATGAAAAAAGGGCCAAGAAAAGTGAAAAAAACTAACGAGGTTGAGTCTTTGCCGTATTAAACATCAGGATAAAATTGTTATTTCATGTATTAATTAGCAAGACTAAATGACTACGTTTCCATTTAAAAGGGCCAAATACATGGTATGGATTAGATGCTCAGAAATCGAAGAACCAATCAGAGCGGGTTCGAGAGCAAATCGAACGCTGAAACAGGGGGAACAAATCAGCTATGCACAAGGCAGTTATTCAGCAATTGAAATCTACATCATGACGGGTGAAACAGCTAAAATTCCGAGCCCAGACAAGACCAAACAAAAACGCAAACAGAGGTATTTTCTTGCAGCAAGGGAACTCACTTTGAGGTAGTGACCGCGGCTCCCATCGGAGCATCAAAGCTTACAGATTTCGAAATCATCGACGGAACTTCACTTCGCATCATATCAGTGAGCTTATCCATTTCTGTCTTAATATGACCTCCACGACTTCCCAACTGCATTCCACGCCTTGTTGGCGGCTCAGCGGGTGACGATCCCCAGTTTTCACGGGGCAACAGGGGTGCTGCTGGATGGTCATCTAGAACGAAGGGAAATGAAATGGAAACCGAAACATCCATCCTACCAGCAGAAGACTCAACACTCGGTTCTGAGGCAAAGGTATCAGCGCCTCTGGCTCCGGAAAAGCTGTTGTAAATCGAGCTTGGTGGTAATCCTTGTTTCACAGCAGCATGACGAGCAAGTTCCAGTTCGCGAGCCTTCCGCTTACTCAGCTCGCGAGCCTCCTGCATTTGATTCTCCCGTACCGCATTAAACATCTTCTCCTCATGTGAATCCATCTCCGTGAAAGAGCGGATCTGACTCAGAGTGACGCTCTCGCGGTAGCCAAGAGCTACAATTTCATCGAATGCGAAAATAATTTGGAAGGCGTTCTCAACTACGTCGGGGGCTTCAGAGCCACGGGCGTATTCAGGAATCTAAAGATAAAAAGGACAATTAAACCCACTACTCGGGCAAAAAGGCGAAGAGTTTCCAGGTCTTCGAGAATGTTGCTAGCTTTAGTGGTGATGAGAAGGACGTAAAGCTTCTCCAGAGGTTGATAAACATAACGAACAGAGTCAGTTTCGACAAATGTGTGTTGCTTGCCTAAGAAAACTAGTTTTTTCAGGCAAAAAGCAAACCTGGATCAGCAAGTTTCGGGAAGGTGGCGATTAGCCCCTCAATCCGAGATTTTGACATTTCCACGAATTGGCGAGATACCAAAGCTAATGAGTGAATGCCAATATTACGTATTACGCCATACCCTTCCCTTCTTTGGTGCAAATGGCAGCAGCGAGTAAAACCTAGCGAAGAGAGATAAATATGTCTAAAAACATAAAATACCATGATGACGCTGGAGACACTAAACACGTCGACAACTGGTGACCTTGAAAACGGTATACCAACAGCTGACTGGTCAAGTAAGGGTTGCGATAATAACAATAATTAGAAGAAAGTCATTTGGCAAAATGCCCCATGTTGCAGCAATATTTAAACCCAAAGCTAGGACCAAACTTCCGCAAGAGGTAATGTGTAGCTACGTACACTCTGCATGTAAAAACAGAGGGGAAACCCGACTATCCGAATTTGCCTCTTATCCGAAGGAAATTGCAAAAAAAAAATAAGAAAACAAAAAACGCGTGTTGCCCTTGAAACAGGTTTTTTTTCAGGCGATGGCTGACGAAAGGAAAATGTCGCATTCGATAAAGTGGCTTACTGTGGCTAGGGGGCATAATTTAATTTAGGAAAGCCGAATTCAACGCGACAATTTCAGGTTTATTCTTTAGGTTTTACGAAATATTGTCACTGATAAGTACACTGAATCCTTCTTAAGCAAATAAACAGCTGCTGCAAGATATCGCAACACCCACGTCGTTTTAATGTCCCTTTCACAGAACAAGTCGGTAGTCAAATCGAATTTTGGGTTTGAGGAACGGTCAGCATCTCCCAAGCCCGAGAAAGGATCCCTGTATCCAATTCTTTTTTAAACTTGTATCCATCTCTCTTTACGCTAAGCAATAAATATGTCCAAATCCAATCAGCCTCGGTGTTCTGGGGTTGTGAAGGCCAGGGAAGGGAGGATAGGTGGGGCCCGTGATACAATGAGTCTTGGAAGGTCGCATTGCTTCCACGGCCCTAAATTTGGAACAGAGTTCGGATTTAGAGTATAGGCATGGAATATAAATAAGACTTTGGTAGCTATAAGCAATATTGCCCTGGCGGAATATGCACATATTTGCCAAAAAATATCATGGGTCGGGTCCAGTTCTCTCGGCATGCGCATGTGTAATTAACCTTTGTGAATAAGTTTATAAGCGTAATTTTGTTAAATGACCGAGGTTTCTCTCAAAATAAAATCATTTTGCTATACCTCCAAATGCAGAAGCCACTTGAGATTAAATTACTTCGAATTGTTTTTTTATGAGTAAGTAGCATAAAATATATCTTGTGCCCCAAAACTTGAATTTAACTTACTGATTACAAAGAGGAATTATTTAACTTAACTGCTCGCTGCGCTTGGGCACAAGTACCATATTCAGTTGGTCGGATGTGTCGTTTGTAGCTATTTCGTCGAAGTAGCTTCCCCAGCTTCGCAAAATAGGGGGTTTTACAAACTCTACTTAGGCAAATGGCTCACAAGAATCGCAATTTACCGCGTCCGACACCTCAATTGTATGCACCTCCGGCTGTTTATCAGCGTCAAGTTAGCCCCCTTGTCATATCTCACACTTTAATGCAGGCGACGTCTCCACAGGTTTACATACCTCCAAATTTGCCTGATTTACGGCTTTTCTATCCTTCTGGGCCGCCATACGACCACCAAACCTATGAGGGGACTAGTTTCTGGTCACGTAGTACCTCCTACTACAAGCGTCCTCCGTTCATGCTCTATTCGCGCGATCCTCGGATCATTCCTGGTCAGATAGAAAAAAAGTTCTGGATATTTATGAATGTGTGAAAGTCGACCGAATTACTTGGTTAATCTTCTTAGGTGTCTCTCGTGTCTCAAACAAGAACAGTCCTTCGGAATCTGTTGATGCAGTTGAACATTATTGTGAGGTTTGCAAAGTCAGTTGTGTGGGCAAACAGTCCTATACTGCTCATTTGGCGGGTCAAAAGCACAAAAAGAAGTCAAAACAACAGGAGCAACAGCAGATGGTAGTTTTCTACGCCGTTAACCTCATTTTCATCCGTGCCACTCCTCTTTTTTACTTCTTTTGATGATTACACGATTTGAAACACGCAAAAGACTGTGTTTTTCACCACTCCCTCCTCTTCGCTAGACTGACGGAACGGTACATGAGACTGAGGGAAGCATAGTCTGCTTCTGCAACATCTGTCAAGTCGCCTGCCACAGTCGCATGGTTTTTGATGACTACATAGTCGGTTACAAGCGCCAACACAATACCCAACTCTTAATCAATAATGAAAAGACTAAATATCCCTGCAAATTCCTCGGCATTGTTTGCATTAGGAAGGTCTCCAACGATGCTCGCTTTTGGGGCTCAAAACACAAAAAGAACGTGTCAGCATCCGCTACCAAACGTCTAGGCTGTGTAGTGTGTGGGGTGGAGTGTAACAGTCGAGTCTCCTATGAGGAGCATATAACCAGCCAGAAGCACAGGAGAAATACCCAGCAGCAATGTGCTGACAGGTCCCATGTTTGCAAGCTCTGTCGGATTGATTGCAAGACGAAGGCAGCCTTTGACAGCCACGTAATTGGAAAGAAGCATTGTAGAAAAAAGGCTATTTTGGACAACTGGGAACGGTCAGTGGAGAGGAGGGAAGGGGGGGAGAGATTCACAGGTATAGGTGGCGATGGAGTAGTAGTAGAGTTCGTTACCACCAGTGCTTACTTTTCTATCTTTGTAGGCTCCAGAGGAGACAGGAGGGAAGACAAAGGAGCTGCAGTGCCCTCTATGCAACATAAAGTGCAGCGGCACTGACACGTACAGGGCTCACTTATCGGGCAAGCAGCATCAGAGGGCTGTCAAACTGCAGACGGCGCGAGGTTCCGCTGTACCCGATTGCGAGACTGTGCTAGCCGGCGCTGACCAAAGTGGGTTTGTGGTTGGTTTGCTGATTTATTTGTCGTTTGAATCAATCTTATTTGTAAACTTTTTTATCGCAGAAAAGTGGATCTTTTCACCCCATGTTAATCTAGAAAACTGTATCGAGGAGGTACGTTAATGTATATTAATAAAAGCGTTCTATATTAGTCTCAAGTTGATGTCTATCATTTTGGCACTTAAACTAGTGATTTTTAAAATTTTGAATTGGATATGGACTTTTTTCTATTTTACCGTACGATATTTGTAAGGCATGTCACTCTTTTATATCCAGTAGGCAAATGTTTAGAGTTGTGTATTGCATTTCTTGTATTCCTTACTTTGGTCATCTGTCGAGATCTTTCGCGGATTTGATCAGTTAATAGTGCTTGTTTTTTGATATTAAATGGTACCAAGCATGTGGTGGCTGTGAATCCACTCGTTTTTATCGTTGCTTAATTTAGGGAATCACTGTTTTATTATGCTGGTAACTATTTTGCTCCTTTGGAGTTTTAAATGTTAACGCTTCCCCGATTGTGCGTCATTTGTTCAGTGAACCAGAATTGTTACGAAATTCCGAATGTAGCCTTGCGTTGAATAATAAGGCACCAGTTCACCAAATATTCCCTTATTTCATTTGCTCATTTTTACTAGCGGCTTTTTGAAATTTTGGGGACAAACCCATCATAATCGTGCATGAAGTTTCTTTTTGAAAGTGGTAAAATGAATATTATTTTTAGGGGAAGTTTGAGGGCGCGTGCCGTTCGTAGGTCGGACTCGGTGTTTGATTTTTGTCATTTGAAGTTTTTACTCAATTCCGCAGGCCGTTTTCCGCTCTATACCATTTAGTCATTGCCGCAGTAATTTTTTGAAATTTTCAAATAGAATGTAATCACAATTGTATGTTGGGTTGTTTTTTCGTCATGCATTGACAAAGTGCTTCACTACTACATCTTACTCTGATTTTTCAAAATGTGGGTTGGGTTTGTTTATCCAGTTATTTTCTTAAGGTATTGGTGACAATTTATTAAAGAGCTTATTGAGTCTCATTTTTTATTTGCTGTGTTTCTTTTTTTTTCGTGGTTTGTGAATTGGAGCTGCAAAAGGTGCGTTTTTGGAGCCGCTAGTCATGCTGTCGCAGCGATTATCCTCCTTTCCTGTTACGTTTGAAGAATTCAATTGTTTACCACATTTTTTGACAATGACAGCGTCTTGTATGCAGGGTTTGCATGAATTGGGTCACTAATATGTTTCCACCAAAGTACCTCGCGTATTTTGCTCTGCACTGTTTCATGCGATTCACATCAACCTTGTGTGGTCTCTTGTCTGGCCGGTTTATGGAAGAAGCTACACAAATACGTCAAAGTGTGTGAATTATTGTCAACAAAAGTCAGGGTTAATTTTTGAAATAAGTACTGCGACAACCCACTTTTTTTCAGTCTAATCAATGTTAGCTTGTTTTTTGCTATCTCTTGAGATAGATTTAAATACTTCCGTTTATGGGCTGCACTGGAGTATGAATGTGGTACTGGGTTGGTGATTATCCCTATCTTTACCAATTGTTCTCATTGGAAGCTCCTATTCTCACAATGGAGTACCTGTTTTTACTTTTTAAAACCAACCTGGGCAACTTTCGAATCGCAAGAGAGTGAGGTCGTTTGCGGGTCCCCCTTTGATTACTAGTCGTATTCTTCGTTCGTTTTGCCTTTGCGTAAAGGTATCATTGGGCTGTTCTTTCATGTCATTTTTCTCGGTGGTAGTCATTCCATTACCCTTTTACAATTGTTAACAACTAATCCAAATGGCTGTCCAGTCGCAGGCTTGCCTCATTGTTTCGACTTTAGAATATCCCATAAAGCTCGAACATAAGCAGTGGTTTCCCTTATTCCCATTTGGGTCAAAGGTTCTAGTGGGCAAGGTAGTGCACTTTCGCTGTCGTCTCTGTGACTGCACCTTCAGTGATGTAAAGGCGAAGAACGTTCACGCAAATGGCAAGAAGCACCAGACTGCTCTGCGCAGATTTAAAGCTGCCTCTTCACTCCCTTTCTCCTCGGTCTCCCATTCAGCTCTGCCTGCTCAGAATGATAAGGTGAGTAGTGGTTACCTGTTCATGTTCATGGTATACCACTTCCTCTTGTACGTTAATTTTATGTGCTATTTCCGGTGGTAAGTCATGCTTGGTGGTGGCGTATTTGTACTTGGCTGATTGTGCTTCCACTTGAGCGAGATAGTGTGATGGAATTAGTAACAATAGGTTGGGCCATTTCAATGATTTCTGCTCAGTTGAACTGATTCTTTGTCTTAGTTTGCAACAGTAATCTTGGCGCGATATCTGCTGGTTATTGTGAGCGGCACCTACTTGTCTGATTCGTTTAGCAGAATACTTTGATTGAGAGATTTGTAATGGACCTTTCTCCTTGAAGACACAAGCAAATATAAGTCTGAAAGTAGCCTCATTATTAGCCTTTGATAAATTTCGAGACTAGTCCTATATGTGGCAGGAGCCAAGATGCAGAATTTGGCGGGGTAGTTGCCAAACTGTCGACTTAACTTCATTAGGCCTGATGTGAGGCTCCGGAGATTTGGCTGCCCACAACAGATTCCAAGCCACGCCAACACCCTTCGCCGACTCATCCAAACAGCCAGTGCCATCTGCTGCTTTGTTTGCCAACTGATGGTACTACTTAAATCCTTGCATCTTCCTCATGTATTACTTTTTATTTTTTTAGGCGTCAAGCGGCAACAGTGACTCCACTGCCTCACCTCAGCCAGTGTCACCACACGGCCTGCCACCTACCTCATCCACCTGTTCCATCTCCCCCTCCCCCATCCCCTCAACATCATACTTCGGCGGTAGGTCTCACGTTCCCCCCATGGGATCCACTTTAGCCCGGCCTCCAGGGCCTTGTGTAGCCCCGCCCGGGCTGCAGACTCCAGTCAGTCTACCGCCGCATGTGCTCGCGGACGAGCGCTACATGCAGACAAAGCTAAGACGCATTGCACCCTCGGAAGAGGAGAACGCGGTGGGTCATTACGTCCATTTGGTGTTCTTGAGATTTTTTAATAGCTCATTTTGTGGGGGTTGGATTTCGATGGAACTTCGTAATGCAGCACATCTCTTGGGCTTGGAAGGGTTATGAATTGTTTGATCATTAATGTCACAGAATGGTTGGATGACTAGAATCATGACTAACAAAATTGTTTCGTTAGGTGGTCCTCTTTGTGTTTTGAGTGATATTTGCATCACTTCTACTTTGATTTACAATGGTGGCCAGATGAGTGAATTCTCATCGAATTAAAACCTCAATTTCATTGGGATAAATGCATATTTAATTGGACTTTGTTGTTTGCTCCCTTACTGTTACTTCCGAAGGTGTGGGTTACAGAAGTTTACAAGTAGCGTATTAACGAGTCTTCTTATGTTTGAAACAATGTTTACAGCGTTTCCAATTGGTCAAGTTTGTGTGTGCCTTCGTCTAGTGGAGAAGACCCTGATCTCAGTAAAATCAGTTTCGCTGTTTTAAGTGCCGAAGGCATCATAAAGTTTATTATGCCACAGACAAACCGGGGGAGGAAGGTTTGAGTTTCCGCTTAGAAGGCTCCTGATCTCAGAAGTAGTGGTGGCGCACATCTCACGTGGACTTCTATATGCTTCCTTGTGCTGTGCGTTTTCGCCGTTAGCCAAACTGCATTTGGGGAGGGGAAGAAGTATGGAGTTGAAAGCTGGTTGATCTTCCGCAGTAAATGCATTTCATAAGATTGCCAAGCTTATTGAGACGAAGTTTCGAAGCATTTACTATGTGATCATAGTTTTTGCTTGTAAAATCATTTCGAAGGCTCCGACTTGATATATCACCGTTAGTGTCTCTTGAATAACTATTTGTAGGCAATACCCCCTTGTTCTATTTACAGACAGTTGCTGATAACGGAGACTTCTACGGTTGTTCCATGGATTATGTGATGGCTGGATGAAACGGTGTCTGGTTGAGTAAATCCAAGTCCCCTCCATTCACTCACTTTCTCTGATCCATATGTTATGGGCTAGTTGCTATAGCTTACTCCAATCAAGGACATACTGTATCCATTGTCACGCACCACATGACGCGTCTGCTTATGTAGTCAAGCTCATGCAGGTCCTATAAAAGCATTACTCATGCTGTCAGCTAAAGCCTGAAATTAATTTCTAATTTTTTTTCCTTTGGTTGGTGCAGAACCGCTGCATGAATAAATAAGAAGTGACAATCATTGACGTGCCTTAGCTCATATTGGCACTTTCCCGTTAAAAGAGTGGGTCTTATTACTCACATGGCGGAATATCCATGACAAAATAATTTTGAAGAAAAAGGCCAACCTCATACAGGGTCTCAACAATAAATTGCCAGGTCAATTTAAAAAAAACAGAGAATTTTAAGAGGTAGGCCTCATGGTTTGTCTTTACTATCGTTAGGTGAACAGGCCTTGCCTTTTAAGAGCTCGTGATATCAAATATTTCATGGTATTTTCTACCTCGATTTCAAGAATACGTTCAATTGGGGTTTCACTTAATGGCAACGTAATATTTTGATAGGTTCCATATCACACACATCCTTGGAGTCTTATTCCAACTTTGATGCTTTTTAAAAGTCAATTTTTTCCTTAGACTTAGTTCCGCAATCACGATCTTATATGTTCATAGGGATGGTTATCTTCCATTTCCCTTTTTCCTCCATTCATCCATTTGTCTGGTGCCTCGGGTCATGAACGTAAAGATAAACAGTTGTTAACATATTTAAAATGAATATTTATTCGAGCTATCTTAGCTCTTATTTGTAATAATAGCCGTTTACGAATAACACCGGTGAAAACCAAGTGATTTCCAACGGCGGTGGCACAAAGGCACAGTAGCCATTCTTCATCCGGCAATCATTTATCCATTCTTTTGGTGATGGCCTGGTAAGTCTTGCCATAACCGGAATTTGCGATTGCTTCGTATGCTTTGTGTTTGGCAGATTTTGTCCAACCTTCCACTGCAGCATAGTAAATAAACGTCCAAAATGCTGCTGAAATCTGAAATTTTTTTGTGCTGATAGAGGAAAAAAATACTGATATTCATTCCATCTCATGGTCTAGAGGCGCTCAATTTT